AATTTAGGTTGATTTCTATAAGTACAAGTGGTAAATGTTTCCAGTCTTTAGAAATTAAACCAACAAATGCAGTCATGGAATTCAAGATTTTAAGTTTAAAATACTTTGACATTCCCTCATTAAAAGTTAAAAGATCATTATTCTTTCCATATTTACTTGTACTTCTAAATTGGGGTTGAAAGGTGAAAACAGCTTTCACAATTATGTGCTGATTTATGGAAAAGGAAATTGGAAAATTATAGTGAGGTTGTAATGTCCATAAAGATGAAGACTCCTCCTGAGGAATTTATGAACCTTGAGAGAGGCTAAGATCCCCTAGTTGCTTGCCCTCTCACCCCTACCTAAAGCATTATAAATCTAGTGTTGTAACATCAAAGTGAAATTTTTAGCACTTTACATGACAGATTATGACATTATTTTCCACTTGGCAAAGGATATATTCCTGAGCGGCTTTTGGTATGTGTGAGGGACCAGCCTTCCTGGTGCCATCCTCCATCCTGTGTGGCACTTCTAGATCCCATGGGCTTTGGTGCAGTTATCTTCATGCACCATAGTTCTAGAACCCTAGTTTCTCAATTCTAATCTAACAGCAGCGGTAGCTTGATTTATTCAGATAATAGTTATTCAGCACCTATTCTTGCAAAGAAAATATGGATTGCTTACTAGGGCTATAAATGGCTGTGACTTTCTCTAATTTAGACTTTAAGTTTCTGGGTATTCACTCAGAGTCACAAAAGAAAATACCTATTTTCTTTAGCTATTTAAAGCAAATCAGAAACACTTGTCCAGGGATTCATAATGACTTCGGGTTTTTTTTATTGGTTTTAATTGGTTATTTCAAATATTCTGAAATAGCCCATGTCCTTAGACTAAAAAGATGTGTTTTTTTTCAGCAGTACCCTGCTTCTAATTGTTGAAACCAAATGGTTTCAAAAGAGATGGACTTAAATAACCTATATTTTGTCCTTCCTCTAGGGGCAGAGCACTGGGAAAGAGAGGATAAAAAGATAATGAACTCTGTTTCTTAGAAGCTTATGTTTTAGTAGAGGAGAAGCATCTAAACAAAAAGAACAAAATGAAAATCATGAATAGACAAAAGACCCCTCAGTTTAGTTGAAAAGATGAAACATGTTATATTGCTTCATGTCAAAGAAAAAATAGGCTCACTAACATTTGCCTGGTTCATTAGGCAGAACATGGTGCACTGTTAAGGTAGAATCTGACAGATGGCGATGTGTGCACAGGAGCACGTGCTTGGGTATATGTAATTGACAACATCTTGAAAATGACAGGTCAGTGCCTGTCAGCACACCTAGGAAGCCAGGTCACCGAGACAGCATGTGTTCTCGAGGGGGAAGGTTCCCACCTGGCTCATGGAAGCTGCTCTTTGCGTCCTTCTTCAAATCTTCAGACTGGGGCTCATAAGTGCAAGAAGCTTGAAAAAGCCTGGATTTAAACTCTGGCTCCACCACTGACTGTGTAACATTGGGACCACGTTCTTAACCTTCTGAAATCTCAATTCTCTCAACTGTAAAAATAATGGCAATAATAGTATGTAATTCATAAATTTGTGGGAATTTCATGCAGTCATCTGTGTGCAGAACTTTTCATGTTCCTGGTACATAAGAATATAAATTGCCAGGATCAAAAACACCAGGTGGACTCTCCTTTAGCCTTAATAGACTAGAAACTGAACAATGATGTGCTTTCTCCAATACGCCTTTGCTTTACATATTCCCACCACCCAGTGCTCAGAGCCTGTAACGCTAATAGCAGCCCCAAGAACTTCTGTGACTGGGCTGTGCTTTGAGGCCAGGGCTGCTGATAGAAGGGGGCTCCCGTGGCACTGTGTAGGGGGATTCCTTGAGGATAGTGAAGCCTTTGCAGCCTTTTCAACAAATATGTTGTCAGTGCACAGCCCTGAAAACTTAACTGATATCAGAGAGCCATAGAAAGGCAAGAAGACTCCAATTTTAAAAAAAACAGCTAAAGAGGAATTATAACATTATGTACACCTGGGTGAACTAGGGAAATCAATGGGCCTTTGAATTAAATATGGAACATTCTTGCTGCCTTACAATGTCCTTCCATGGTGACTGAAGCAGGAAAGGAAAGGGCAGCCCTTCTCCCTGAACTTGTACCTCTTGGCCTTCCTCCCTCCCACCAGTTTCACGCCAGAGCCCAACTTCTGGCCCAAAGTACCATCGGAAGCCTTAACTGCAGCTCAACCCTTTGCCTGGCTCCTTGCTCTGCTGCATTGCTAATCAGTCTTCCTTGAATGGAAACTCAATATCCCCTGCAGAAAGTCTGCAATCTTGCTTTGAAGCTATTTGCATCCAGTCAGAAGAACCTTTTAGTTCTAGTTCTAAATTGAGCATCCCTGTGGTTTCAATCCCCTGATAAGCAAGGCAGCTGGATTCCATAGCAGTCACACTGGGCCACAGTTCTTAGTCACATTAGAGAATTGATGCATAAAACTGACAGCATGGTAAATTTCTTCATGGTGGGGAGGAACCAGAAGTAACCCATGCTAGTCAGTAAACTGGTGATACAGTGCACAGAACTGGGTTTTAAGGCAAGTAAGATGTACATACTTTATCACGGTGTATTGAGGGCACTTTGGTGTTTAGCTACATTCCCATAAGGGAAGCAACTGTAATTTGGCTTGGATATATTCTGGAGATAAGGATGTAGCCATTCACCACCGAAGTCCTAGTACAACAGTCTACATACAGAAAGGCTTGATACAGCACAGGGGCGGGGTGCCCTTCCTTCAGCTATTGGGAACCTGTCATTCCCCCATTCCACTGCTGTGACAAAAACTATAAAGCAAAAAGAGAAAAGGGTTTCAATTTCAGTTTTCCCATTTACTCTTCACTTTGAGTAAGTAATAGCCACCTCAAAAGGGTGGAGAGTCAGGAAATGTAGTCATAGGTGTAAGGTGCCTAGCAGAAGACTGAACTAAAGAGAGACACTGCACCATTATTTTCTACGTATCCCTTGCTGCCTTCCTGCACATCACAACCTCTTCTTAATAATTGCACCTCTTTACTCTGCAGTGCTAGACAAAAATACATTCCCATTACCACAAGTGGCAGACTTGGCCCTCTGCATCAGCCCTGTCCACAGGCCAGCAACAGTATTTATCTCAGGGTGACACTGGTAATGGATGGTCGCTGCACTTCTTAATCCATTTATGTAATCCTTCTTGCTTTGCTTGCAGTTATCTGCAGGGCTTTAGCAGCAATAAAATATTTCCTTTCCCAAGACAGAGTTCACTCAATTTAAATCTGGATTGATTATAGCTAAAATGTATGACATCTTTACAAAGGAAGAAAAAACAGCAATAAATTATGCACAGTAACTATTTAGCATTTATTCAGCCCCTACAGTGTCCTGGGCTCAGCATATAATTGGTGGGGAGAAACACTTGCCCTTGAGAATCAAGGCATAGTCACTCATATGGAAAGGGACTCAGAGCAGGGCACCAATCCAATTGCCAGCTCTTCCTTTTTCAAGGCTTCCTGCAGCTATCTGGCCGGTTTTTCAGTTGACTTCACAGGGTTAAGTGGACTCTTCACCCACTAGTGACTTCTTTTCTTTCAGTTTCCCTCAGATACATTCTACTGACAGCATCCTTAGCCTTTGACCTCTGCCCCAAAGAGCACTATTTACTGATCCTCAAGCAGTTTTCGTTTACGACTAAGACACTTGTTGGAGTTAAAGTTTGGGGCCAGCCTGATACTATCTGCCTGACATTTGTGGGATTCCTCCTGCAGTGACCTGTGGTGACAAGGGAAGCACACTAGGAAATGGTGTGGAACCTGTGCGGACCAGGGACTCTCTCCAACTGCATGCATCTGAGAACATAGTCATGCATGTGCTCATCAGTCAGAGGGTTTGGATGTCAACTGGATGGATGATTAAATTTTGAGACCACTAATTAAAATGTAACTTACATACTATAATAATATAAATGTAATTCCTATACATACTTATGACTAAAATTTGAAAATTTAGAGTGATTGTCTTCATTCACAGAAGTCCCAGTTAAACATGCTCCAGAACAATCATTTACAGAGATGAACAGCCCAAAGAAAGTGATAAAGAAAAATGGCCTGCATTTTTTTCTTTTAATTTTTGACTATTTGACTTTAAAAGGAAAATATGCAGGAACAATGAAAATCAATCAAAATAAATAATAATAAATAGCATTCATTGAGCCTCATGCACACTATATTCAGTCCTTCAAATATTGCTGTGAAATAGGTAGTTGTACTATCTACATTTCATAGGTGAAGCAGAGGCTCATGGTGTCAAGTAACTTTCTAACTAAAAGGAGGTGTAGCCGTGGTGTGAGTGTCTTTACAGCAGAGCCAGGAATTTAACCACTGGGCATACTGCCATCTAGGACCCAAAGCACAAATATGTATCATATTCAAAACCCAAAATATGCCATTTTCTTTAATGTTTTGGTTGACCTTTGAGTTAAAATGAGCTAAAACCTTTTTCTTCCTCACATTTTCTTGTAAAATTTCATTGCCATTTAAATATATTAGAACAATTGTCCCTAATGTGTCCCTCATGTGATTCAAATTAGATTTAAGTAATATCAAGAAGAAATTTCTTAAGAAGGCAATTATTTTACATTGCTGATCATTTCTATTTTTAACCTCAGAACATTTTTTGCCTTAAAAAAAGTTGCAAGGAAATTTGAGCCAATATGTAGACTTAGTCATGTTTTTTAGGGTTTTTGGTCTTTAGTTTTTGCTGATGGTTATTATTACTTTTTTGAAGGGCAGACAGGATCAAATGAAAAATTAGACTTTCCACCTCTGGTTTAGAATAGTAATTCTACTCTATTGAGAATCCGAAGGACGCATTCAATCCTCAGATTAAGATTGTTGTCAGAGAATCTTCCCACCCATTTCCCAAAACACAGGCTGAGTGTTTTGCTTACAGTTGTGCACGTGCTTACACAGTGTGTGTGTTTCTTACAGTTGACCTGGACAGGCTCAATGATGATGTCAAGCGTTACAGTTGCACTCCCAGGAATTACTCGGTAAACATACGAGAGGAGCTGAAGCTGACCAATGCAGTATTCTTTCCACGCTGTCTCCTTGTGCAGCGCTGTGGAGGAAACTGTGGCTGTGGGACTGTCAGCTGGAAGTCCTGCAAGTGCAATTCGGGGAAAACTGTGAAAAAGTATCATGAGGTATGTTGTTCTCAAAGGTCTTTGTTGTAGTGCTGCATTTAGCAGTTTCTGCTGCAGACGGCATGTAATCCACAGGGAGCTGGAAGGTAGCACCATTGCATAGGGTTGTTAGGCTGTTCACTGCACAGGAGCATCCGGCCAGGGGAGTGATGGGGAGCTGAAATTATACCTGCACTAAATTTGTCAAGCTGACTGGGGAGGATCTAAGTCCATCCTAAAGAAGGGACTTCCTTTTCTAATCCATGTAGGTTGGCACAGCCTTGTTAGAACACATATACAATCAAATGTGTGATGAAGTAATTTCAGAGCTGACTTGGCTCCTTATAGAAAGAGCATGGCTGCAAAATGGAAGTTTCTTTAAGAAAAAGCTAAGAGCCAAACTTTAATGCAATCATGTCATCGAAAAAGTAAACAGAGTAAAGATAGCAAATGATTTCACAGAAAATATACATTGTCAGAGACTTTTTCATTCCATAAATATGAACACATTTTTTTACAAACACTGATTTTTTTCTAAATACTCTTGAGTGTTACCTGGGAAATCAGCTCTGAAATTATGTAAAAATAATTTAAAAATAAGTAAAAGAAATAAGAAAAACAAAAATTTAGGAAGAGAACAGTAACCTTTAATAATAATTATAATAACAAGCACTCATGAGCACTTAGCATGTATCAGATACTATTGTTAGTCATCATCAACTCACTTAGCACTTTCTCAATACTGCTATAAAGGGGGAAGGGGATGCTATTTTTATTCTCTTTTTATAGGTGAGTAACTGAGGCCTAAGAGGACCAGTAAGTTGGCCGGTATGGCATGGTTGATAAACCACAGAGCCAGGACCTACTCTCTGATCAACTGGTCCTAGAGTTTGTGTTCTCATCACTAGTCATACTGTGCTCTCTCTTTTAAAATACATAGCATTTTGTTGAGCATTAAAGAGTAGACATGGGGGAGTTAGAGCTGCCCCTGACAGTGACGGCAGCTTTATTGCTTCCTGACTGTGGGAGCACATGAAAGTCACTGAAGTCTAGAGACTCAGTTTTCACACATGTGCAATGGGACTAGGAACATATATCAGATAGTACCTTATAGGGTGGCTCTGGGGATCAAGTAATACATTGAATAGGAAATGTGTTTTTCAAGATATGAAACATCAAGCAGAAAATGCTTAAAAATATAACTGAAATGTGAAGTAAACATTATTTTTAGGAATCGTTGTTAAGTTGCTTTTTATCAGTTATCTACCAAAACAATAAAAAAAGGATAGTGCTCCCTGAATAAAATCTCCAGCTTTGTAAAATGGTTTAGTTATCTTGAAAACAGTAACACAATAGTAAGTTGGGAGGTAACTGAGCATAATGAAAATGCATACGTCATAACTGGTATTTTCCACTTGAGAAAGGCAGGAAGCCAGGGGCACTGACCATGCTCACCTTACACAGAGGAAACACATTATTTTAGACCTACGTAGAACATACTCTCTTAGTCACAAGAGTTTCTTACTCCACCCTCACAGTTTTCAAAGGTGGGGAAAAAAGCCTTCTATCCAGAGAATGCTACCATCTGTGTTCATTGTGTTTTATATTTGTATTACCCAGTGAACTCTAGGTTGGATGTTGTCCTTGCCTTCAAGAACCTGAATATTGTTATGTTTAGTTATAACCTGAAGGTCAGTGCAGAAAGCAGTAATCGGGTTAGAGTTAAAATAATGTAGGAGGTGACAAGAACTCTCTCCCTAGTCATAACTGTGAGAGAAAACATTCAAGTTCAGTTTTTGATGTTTTGCAGAGTGTTTTATTTTCCTCAGGGCTTTCTTATCAGGTACAAGTTACAGCTTGACTTTTTAAATTTTTTATTGCGGAAATGGCAGAGTTAAAGGTACACTCAAAAGGACCCTCGCCTCCCAGACAGGGTCCTTTTCTTAGTTCCTTTCTTGTCTCTGTACACAATAGCTGTTACCTATAAATTCCTGTAAACAATTGGTCTCTGGAAGGGGAAGCCCTTGATCTCTTTGTTCAGTCACACCAACGGGTCTAAAACGTTGGCATCTTTTGAAACTGCTGTCTAAAGCATCTCTTGGAAACGTGTCATAATATTTTTACTTCGAGAAGTCTGCAGAGCTCTTTATATACAAAATCCCTCTGCCAAGTGCTGAACAAAGGAACATGAGAGCAGCACTCACTCACTCGGTAACTGCGTACCTGGAAAAACAAGCCTGTCGTATTTCCCCTACAGTCCTAAAGTACCCTTGGAGTCTGTCACAGTGACCCCTCTGCTGAGTGCCCCAAGGAAAAGAGCTGAAGGCTTGGTTCCTTTCCAGAAACCAGGACCGCTTGAGCTAGGCTAATCAGGGAGAAATCCTCACCCTCTACTCTATAGTTTTACGTCTGTATTCTCAACTCAGAGAAATGAAAATGCAGGCTCCTCAGCTCCTGGTTATAACTGATGAGATGTGAAATGAGTTTCTATGAGAGATGAGCACCCTTAAGGGTGATGAGAACTCATCACATAAGCAGGCCTGTGTGACTCTCCACAAATACTTTAACGCTCAGCATTTAAGGAATAAAAATGAGAAATTATAAAGCTCCTAATGAAGCTAATGTCATTGCTTTTTTCACAGGTTGTGCTATTTCTCCTAGCATTAGTCACTGTGCAATAGATTGGTAGCATCTTTATTATTTTCTGTTCTCAAAGGTTTGTAGGAATTCTATTAAATTATTTTTTCTTTTTCCTAACAACCATCCTGTGACTCTTGGAGTATATAGAATATAGAAAATAGGTTGGGTAGTGATATTTTAAATAGGGAAGTTTCCGGGGACATGTTATGCAGACAGAGGATGTTATATATCTGTTCTTATCTTCCCTTGATAATGAATGAAGAAGGGGTATGCTATTCCCTAGAAATATGGTGACCTCTTTCATCAATATTTACTGTTTTCCATCATTTGGTCTCCTCTGTCCATTCAATCAACAGCTAAAAATTTGGGAAGCAGCAGAGAGAGAAGGATAGCAATTAACTTTCATTTTTTTCCTCTCTCATGATTTTGCCACAAAGCTGATATAACCCCCTACACTAGTAGAACATTCTGCAGTGATGGGCTGTTTCACATCTCCATGGTCCAATATGGTAATCACTAGCAGCAGCTGGTTGGTTATGTTGCCGTTGAAATATATGTAGCGTCCATAAGAAACTGAATTTTTAATTTTATTTACTGTTAACTAACTTTAATGTAAGTAACTACATATGGCTAATAGCAACCATATTGAACACACAAGTCTGTTTCTGATACATTTACAACATCTAGAATCATGTTTGTCTCTGCACAGAGCTTAAAAATGACGTTAGAGGATTGTTTTTATTTTAAAGAAGAATTTTATATTAAAAAGTGCTTCCTATTAATTTGAGTTAGTGATATTGACAGATATTTATAAATGAAACAAAAGATCAATTAAAGGTAATAAACTGTTGAGTTTCAGACTTGGAATAAAATAATAGTACTCTTATTTTTTACATGCTTTAACAGTCATTAGTTTTGTTATTTAGCTAAATTTGTAAATTGAGACCAAGAAGACAGAAAATTTTTTTTCACAGTTTCTACTCTATGGTAAAAACAATGGAATTTGGGGTTATGATATAACTGACTAATAATGAAAGTCTAGAAAATCTCTTTTCTATTTTTTTCCTGGAATGTCATTTTCAGAGCTTGTATAGAATCTTCTGATTCCTTCTTTCCTTTTCTCCTTTCTCTTTCTCCCTCTTTGAGTGAAACCAGGAGAGAGCTCTTTTTCAGGCTGTTTCTCTGTTTTCCTAGAGACAGGGCGATGGAGTGAAAAGTTGTGTGACTAAAAGAGAAAAGATGTAGGTAGATTCTGGTGCCAGCTATGCTGCATGGGAGGCAACCTAGGGCCAGCGGAGTAAAACCTCCCAGGGCCTGAGGTTTCCTCTCCTTGAACGTTCCGTTCTGAGTTCCCAGGCAGCCCTGAAATTGCATGATATCCATCAACTGTTGCACCCTTGCCTAGCCCCAGAATTTCATCTTACTGAAATTATGTAAGGACTATAAGCAAATTGATGGTTGAGGTGCTAAGTCAATGCAAAAGAATTAAGATACGGTCTGGAACAGTTAGTGTTATAGAAAGGATGATTTACTCATTAATAATAGCACCTGTACTCCTTACCTCCCGGGGATACTGTGTGAATAAAAGCATCTGTAGACTCTAAAGCACAAAGCAGATGTGAGTAGGATTTTCTGAGAGCATTTTCTGGCTTTCTCAGTTCTGACTTCTCTTCCCAAGTGAATATGCTCCGCTGAAGTACGGCAACATGTGCACACTTATTCCCTTCCAGATCTAGCTTCACATCAGAGCTTCCTGCCAAAGATTAGCAGACCTGTCCTGGGTCATCATATACCTCAGGTAAATGATGCCCACCTGTGTCATGAATGGTTCTCAGGGCTAAGGCCATGCTCTGAAATTTTGTGCCCAGTTAGGTTTCCATTATATTTCCTGCAATGGGTAGGCTGGACATGTAGTCACTAATTCTCTAAGACACTCAAAGTCATTTGGCTATTTCGTTTTGTAAAGGTAAGGACTGCACCCAAATATACCCTATAATAATGCCAGGGTGCTCACAGAAAACTTATATTAAAAGTAAATATCCACAGATGATGTCAAGATTGCATTTTCAAAATTCATGAGTGTTTTAGAGATCCTCACTATAAACCCAGTCTTCAATCACCTTCAAACTTAATTTGTCAGCCAAACGTCACTGAACTTTTCATCATTTGTGTATTTTTTTAGTCAAATGCTATGTCTTATGACGTGGTATCAGTTCTTCTATCATCAGCAGGGCTCAGCCTCTGCTGCAACTACAGCTCACGAGCCGGGCAGTTAGTCGGGTAGAAAATAATGTTATCCCTTCTCAAAGTATTTCTGCTGATAGTCACTTGGATTTTAGAAAAATTGAACACCAGCCCTTAAAAATCTTCACTCTGTGCAC